GACCTATCAAGGAGATCCACAACCATCTCCAGACCCTTGTCAAGACGCCCCCAGTCTACCTGGACATCCTGGGTTGAGTGGGGACCCTCACCCACCCTCTGCTCCCCTTCCCTCCCCACTACCAGGTCAACTGGGAGGGGGGGTCCAACCTTTCTCCTCCCACCCAACGGAACCCCCTGGACTGATGCCCGGATGGGGGGAGAGGGGTGAATCCTTATTTATAGCAGAAAACACCCACCCAACCCCATGGGGGCTGTAGGGCTGGGGGACCCTCAAGGCTGTGACCCCCAGGGTTGTGATCATGACCCCCAGGGTTGTGTCCATGCCCCCCAGGGTTCTGACTCTGTCCCCCAGGTTTGTGGCCATGTCCTCATGGATTGTGACCCTCTCCCCCAGGGTTGTGACCATGATACCCAGGGTTGTGGCCGTGTCCCCCACAGCTCCAGTGTACCAGGATGGCATGGAGATGCTCAACCGACATGGGTTGGCTCCAGGGGGTGAGATCCAAGAGCCCCCCAGCACTGGGTCCATGCCAGTGCGATGGCCAGGGACACCCTGTGGAGTTGGGGGCACCCTGTGGCTTGGCTGCTCCTTTGTCCCCTTGTCCTGGTCTCCAGTCGGTGGGGACACCCCGCGCTCACCCACTCTGCAGCGAAACTGGTCGATAATAAATGGATCCATCTCACCCCTGCGCTGGGACCCACCTGCTCTGGGGTGTCCACAGGGCTTGGGGTGGGACACAGGGATTCTGGGGAGAATTGAGGGGCTTTTGGCGGCAGGGGAAGAGGAGCTGGAGGGGATCCCAGAATGTGGGGTTGGTATGTGCTTGGGATGTGGGGAAAAGGTGTACCCAGGATCCTGGGATGCAGGAATGATGTGTGTCTGGGATGCAGGAATGATGTGTGTCTGGGATGGAGGGATGATGTGTGTCTGGGATGGAGGGATGATGTGTGTCTGGGATGGAGGGATGATGTGTGTCTGGGATGGAGGGATGATGAGTGCCTGGGATTAAGGGATGTGGGGAAAATGTGTGCCCAGGATGCAGGGATGATATGTACCAAGGATCCTGGGACGCAGGGATGATGTGTGCCCAGGATCCCGGGATCCGGGGATGATGTGTGTCTGGGATACAGGGATACAGGGATGATGTGTGTCTGGGATCCCATGATGTGGGAATGATGTGTACCCAGGATGCAGGGATCCTGCAGTGATGTGTGCCCAGGATCCTGGGATGAGGGAACAATGTGTCCCCAGGATTCAGGGACAATGTGTGCCCAGGATACCAGGATTCAGGGATGATGTGTTCCCAGGATCCTGGGATTCAGGGATGATGTGTGCCCAGGATTCCAGGATTCAGGGATGATTTGTTCCCAGGATCCCAGGATTCAGGGATGATGTGTTCCCAGGATCCTGGGATTCAGGGATGATGTGTGCCCAGGATTCCAGGATTCAGGGATGATTTGTTCCCAGGATCCCAGGATTCAGGGATGATGTGTTCCCAGGATCCTGGGATTCAGGGATGATGTGTGCCCAGGATTCCAGGATTCAGGGATGATTTGTTCCCAGGATCCCAGGATTCAGGGATGATGTGTTCCCAGGATCCTGGGATTCAGGGATGATGTGTGCCCAGGATTCCAGGATTCAGGGATGATTTGTTCCCAGGATCCCAGGATTCAGGGATGATGTGTTCCCAGGATCCTGGGATTCAGGGATGATGTGTGCCCAGGATTCCAGGATTCAGGGATGATTTGTTCCCAGGATCCCAGGATTCAGGGATGATGTGTTCCCAGGATCCTGGGATTCAGGGATGATGTGTGCCCAGGATTCCAGGATTCAGGGATGATTTGTTCCCAGGATCCCAGGATTCAGGGATGATGTGTTCCCAGGATCCTGGGATTCAGGGATGATGTGTGCCCAGGATTCCAGGATTCAGGGATGATTTGTTCCCAGGATCCCAGGATTCAGGGATGATGTGTTCCCAGGATCCTGGGATTCAGGGATGATGTGTGCCCAGGATTCCAGGATTCAGGGATGATTTGTTCCCAGGATCCCAGGATTCAGGGATGATGTGTTCCCAGGATGCCGGGTTGATGTTCCCATCCCCAGCCCAGAGAAAGATTTTTTGGCTGTGCCAAGGTGACCACCTTGGTCATCCCTCCAGGGATGCTCACGCCATTCCCCAACTGGGACACCTGCGTCCCCTTGCCACAGGCTCCGAGAGGTGGGATATGGGACATGACAGCACCAAGACAACCCCCCCGAAAGGGTGCAGCCCTCCCTTCCCCATGGGAGCCGGGGGTTATCGCATGCCCTGTAGCGTCCACTCCATCATCCCTCCCCGGGCTCTCCAGCCGCTCTGGGGATCTGACCGTAATGGAGCTGAATTGATTCCATCTGGTTCATTAGGCAGAGCCCTGGCAGCTCCTTTGTTACCCCCAACGACCCCAGATAAGCAGGAGGAGAGCGGGGTCGCAGGGGAAACTGAGGCACGGCATGAAGTGGGAGCGATCAGGGGTGTGCGGTGGGCGCTGAAGGGCTTGGGGCTGGCACGGTGGATGGATGGGGTTAGATGTGACATGGTGAGAGCCGGA